GGTCTCGATCTCTTGACCTCGTGATCCACCCGCCTCGGCCTCCCAAAGTGCTGGGATTACAGGCTTGAGCCACCGCGCCCGGCCTTATACCTACAATCTTATTGAAACTTATAACCAGCAGAAAAATGATGAATTGGTGAATAATGACTAAGCTTTACACAGCTTATTGAATGCATATTTTAAAAAATAAGTCTGCTTTATCTACTATTGATTCAGTGTAAATTTTCCTATGTGTACATAATCCTACACAATTTCAGAAAACAAAAGTACAATTTATACACTTTAGAAGGATTGGCCAGGTGCCGTGGCTCATGCCTGTAATCCCAGCACTTTGGGAGGCCAAGGCAGGCACATCACTTGAGGTCAGGAGTCGAGACCAGCCTGGCCAACATGGTGAAACCCCCGTCTCTACATAAAAAAAAAAAAAAAAAAGGAATGACAGGCAGTGAACCTTGTGAACTTCAGTAATGTAAGTCTGTGCTCCATAGAACTATATCATGAAAACTCATTTTGTTTCAGTTAATGATGCTTTCCTCCTTGAAATATGATTACAGTAAGTGTTATGTCTTTTCTCAGCCAATAAACAATTTTCATCTACTGAAAAACTTGAACAGGGAACTTCTTTTGCTCTTATCAGACAAATGCCTTCAACATCTGCAGGACTTAAAACTTCCATTGCCAAAAGCAAGTAGTTATTTTATGTATTCTACTGAATTTCCATTTAATGAAATTAGTTTATATTTTTACAGTACCACCTATTTGAATTGTGGAACATTTAGGTTTATTTCAGGAGAGTACTATGTTATTTTACAGCAGAAAGAGAGAGATAGTAATACGTACTTTTTTTTTTTTCTTTTTGAGGCAGAGTCTTACTCTGTTGCCCAGGCTAGAGTGCAGTGGTGGCTCATTGCAACCACTGCCTCTTAGGCTCAAGTGATTCTCGTGCCTCAGCCTCCCAAGTAGCTGGGATTACAGGCGTGCACCGCCACGCCCAGCTAATTTTTTTGTACTTTTGGTAGAGACAGGGTTTCACCATGTTGACCAGGCTGGTCTCGAATTCCTGACCTCAAGTGATCCACCCGCTTTGACCTCCCAAAGTGTTGGGATTACAGGCGTTAGCCATCATGCTTGGCCTTGTATTTTCATCAATATACTTGTTTCATGATGTTTGTGTTAATCATATCAGATGGGATTATTGGGCCTCAGTATCTCAAACTGAAACATATTTTGGCCAAAAGACATTGCCATTAAGTGGCATAATTATTTATTTTAAAATTAGTTGATATTGTAGCCAACCTATAAATGAAATCATGTTTTTTAGGGACTGGTTAGACTAGTTATTCAATTTCCATTAAGTATTGTGAATATTACCTCATTTAAGAAAAATAACAGCATATATATATATAGCAGTGGACAAGTTGATCTGCATTACATATATCGTGTTTGTTATTCACCATTATCTTAGAAAATTGACAGACAAGTATAATTATCTTCCTTGTTTTGTAGTTAAGACTCGAAGAAATTCAGTGACTTCCACTCTAACATCCTTTTCTATGGTTTATATTTTGGTCATTTTATAGGTGGATCATGATATTTAAATTATACCTTTCATTTATAAGTCAACATTTTCCCCCAAAAGCAAATAAAGTGATAATGACGTTTAATGATAGATGTATTGCCAAGCTCCACTTTATAACTCTTCCTAGTGGCAATACAGAGTTGTTTTAAACATAGTGAAGTTATCTACTATGGATAATTCAAATATCTTTTTGCTGCTGGTGTTTGCCCTTTTAATTAGTGTTCCTTATTAAAAGAAAAATCTATACCCAAGTGTGTGTCAATAACTACGTCTGGCTTGTAGCACATGGTGCCTCTCACTGATAATTGAAATGGATTAGGCAACCATACCTTTAATCCAAAAAAAGAGATCCTTTTTCTTTCTAGAGGAAAGAAAGGAGTGTTCTTGAGAGGAAAAAGACAAAGAAAACAAATTCCACGTCATTCCCTTAAACTTAGCCATTAAAAAAAGATGAAGAAAGACAGCTTTTGTGCCTTAAGAATTGAAAAAGGCATAATTATAGTTTGAATTTTAAAATGTTTGTTTTGCATTATTAGGTTTCTCAACAATTTTTGAGCAATGCTGATTGCTATAAAATTCTAGTACAGCAAAAGATTTTGGATATCATTTAAAGTAATTAATTGTAGCAGTAGTTAACCTTATGAAAAAGATTTCCATTTTTGCATAAAACAATATAGTTTTTAATATGTTTAAAAGTATTTCTAGGGGGAAAGGATTTTTGTTCAAACTGACATTATGTTATTTGTACTTTTAGGACTCTTAAAATTTCAATGATGAGCTTGAGAGGTCTTTTATTGTCAGTCTGAGTATATCACATTTTCTGTTGTATTGATCTGAGAAAATTTTATCCACTTACCACCTCCACCCTCAAAATGCTTTCCCAAAGCACTTTTATGTATAGTCTGGGTTCATTCATAGATTAATATGGGAAGATTTTCTCTGGCACCTTGCTTATAATATGGTAAAATTAATTTATTATTCACCAACTAAATCCTTTAGAAAAATTAGATAACATTAATTGCAATGCCATGTTTACATACTTTCATTTTAATATATCTTAATTGTTCCACAAGCATTGACTCTGTTTTACTATCTAATTGCTTTCAGGAATTAGCAAAGATTTATTTCATAGACATTTATTACATATTTAATATAATGAGCAAAAGCCTTATTAATGAGACATGTAAAGAGAAGGGACAGATTATGACGTCAAGATAATAATTAGTTAAATTGTATTGTGAAGGAGCAATTCCAAATAAAACGTTTAAAATTATTTATTAGTTTTTAATACAAGAAGGTATGTATGGAAGATACTTTGTGAAATAACTTGCTTACAGGTATAATATATTGTACCCTCTGAAATGATGAATGCTATGATTAATGATTTCTAGGCAATAAAATCCATATTGGCAGTCTTACCTTTAAATTGTAATAAAACCTCGTCAATACAGATAGATCAATATTTTAAACTCAAATGAAGTTCATAATCTAACCTGTAATATTTTAAATAACTGTTTTAAATCTTGGTTGATTCAAGTAGTCTATTTTTGTGGCTACTCATTGCTGATTCATAATAACTGCTCACACCATTTTGTCATTTCTTGCAGTATGCTAGTGAAGGATACTGACTTAATCACATGATCAGACCACCTCTGCGGTTCGGTTCATGCTGCTCAATCACATTATCCAAGAAATTTTCAGATCACACTATGTTGTTAACATGTACTTCAGTTTACAAATCCCCAAAAGAGAAATTATTATTATTTTTTGAGACAGAGTTTCACTCTTGTTTCCCAGGCTGGAGTGCAATGGCACAATCTCAGCTCACTGCAACCTCTGCCTCCCAGGTTCAAGCAATTCTCCTGCCTCAGCCTCCTGAGTAGCTAGAATTACAGGCATGCACCACCACACCTGACTAATTTTGTATTTTCAGTAAAGATGGGGTTTCTCCATATTGGTCAGGCTGATTTTGAACTCCCAACCTCAGGTGATCCACCCACCTCGGCCTCCCAAAGTGCTGTGATTACAGGCATGAACCACCATGCCCGGCTAAGAAATTATTTTTTAAACAGACATTTCTCAGTATACTGAGCTAGAATATCTTATATGAAATAAAAGTGTCTACACCGAAGCAGATTATTTTTCCTTGGGTTGCTTAAATCATGGCATCTATAGCAATTGTCAATATTCATTTTTATTTTAAAAATACTAGTTATAACTATGTAACTTGTAAGGTCCAGGACCTCAGCCTCTGAAAGCCATTTTTTGGCCATGCAGCTGAAGTCAGATGCTAGAGCTATCAATAACATTACACTTGATATCAAAAGAATAGCTCCGTAGGGTAAAACACTGACAGTCTGTTAAAGCCTAGAAGCTGATACAGGTATAACTCAGATAATTCATTTTCTTTATGTTAAGAACAAATATCTTTTTATTTAAATGATTGATATTGGAGCTCGGTGTTTTCTTCATTTTGTATTGGTATGTGCTCATATGTATGTGTATACCTGTGTGTATACATATATGTGTTTTTAAAATATATGCATATATAACAAAAAACAGTAGTTATAACTAAAGTATGAATTATTTTTAAGTATTAGACATGTCTAAAGGGTTGTATGCTTGTAATTTGGGAACTTTGATGTCAGTATCAGACATTTTACTTCTTAATTTTTACCATTTTCTAAATAATTCTATTTCATTTCAGATAAAGAATAAACTCACTTTAAGTTTGGGGATATAGACTTTCTGCATATTATTTGAAATTAAATCTTATAAGCAAGATAGAGAAGATAAAAAATATTTGAAAAAGGAATATCTCACTCCTGAGATAATTAGTAGTTTATGAACACTAATATTCTTTTGTACTTGATCTCTAGAAAAAACCAACAAGGAGAAAAGCTTGTCTTTAGATAGAAGAAATACCAAGGCACATTCATCTGCTAATACAAAACAAGTGGAAAAGAAGCCAGGTGGTTGTTATTTCTAAATACAAATTTTAAGTAGTGATTTAAAAGAGGTATTTTATGTCAACATTGAATTGCTTGAAAAATCATTTTCAAAATTGGAAGCCAAAATATTCCTACTTAAACTAAAAAATGTGCTTTGATGCCATGCCTATTTGGCTAAAGCTAGAACAATCTGTCTGTAAATGAAGTATATAATTCCTCCCATCATCTGACAGGGCGTGGATAATGCAGCTGAGGAAATAAATAACAGAATATTGGTATAGATAGCTGTGTATTGGAGGATTTGATTCACTTCCAAGATTTCATTAATTTGGATTTAGAAGTTTAAATTCCTGGCCACATTTTGAACTTCAAAACTTTGCTCTTGCTTCATAGCATTACCCTTTGTGCATATTTTCACTGCTGATTATTCACAGAATTTCACAGTGATTATTAAAGTACTTCTTTATATAAAGTAGTATTTTTTTTTTTTTTTTTTTTTTTTTTGAGACGGAGTCTCACTCAGTTGCCCAGGCTGGAGTGCAGGGCACCATCTCAGTTCCCTGCAACCTCTGCCTCCTGGATTCAAGCAATTCTCCTGCCTCAGCCTCCCGAGTAGCTGGGATTACAAGCACCCACCACCACACCTGGCTAATTTTTGTAATTTTAGTAGAGATGGAGTTTCGCCATGTTGGCCAGGCTGGTCTTGAACTCCTGACCTCAGATGATTTGTCTGCCTCGGCCTCCCAGAGTCCTGGGATTCCAGGTGTAAGCCACTTCGCTGGTCATAACGTAGTTTCTTTTTAAAACCTTTCCCTGGCATTTTCCTTTCACATGTATTTGTTGCTTTTTGTTTCATACCAAGACTCTCCACTTAATTGATTCAGGTCAAATTCTGTTAGAACAAATGTCATTGACACAGGGATCTTTATGAACATGAAGATTTATTGGCACAAGATATTTACAACAAAATTTACTTTTAATGAAAGAGTTTACTCACTTTCTTGGAGCCTTTGGCAGTGGACTTGACCATTATGATTTTCAGTGATGTCCATCTGTAGGAATCCTTGTAAAAGTTGTTTTACCATGTGCAACTTTTTTTCCCAAGTGTGAGTTCCTGTATATACTTCATACCGTGGGGAATGGCTGTGTTTGAATTGTTACCTATACTCCTTCCTTGGAGTTATTTTGGTATGTATGCTGTGACCTTTCTCCTTTTATTTTGGGAATCTCTTCCTTGAAAGTACAGTCCAGTCGGATGACAGTGTTCAATCCTGGTATGTTTTGTGTTGCTGGGAAAGTTGCTGTTGAGAGCAGTTTGCATTGTTCTTTCTTCCAATGGAATCCTTTGAATTTGTTCTCATTATATAGCTCATTGCTCATATATCAGTTCTCAAGAGAATAATTTAATCAGTTGTCTTTCAGCCCAACAAAAGTGTCATTAGCCAAAAGCAGAAGTGCTGCTTCATTATCCAGCCCTGGAAAAGATAGTCCAGGTAACAGGCATATTGTGGAAAGCCTGATACTAACACCTGCAGAGGTGTTAGTATTTGCATTTGAAAGCAGGCTTCATCACTGAATTTGTTGTATTTAGACATCAAAATAGCTTGAATCAGTAGTTACGATATTAGTGATTTTACCCAGTATTTGATGTTGCATATTTATTTTTTGACTTCTAACATGATAGGGCAGTTATCTGGGGGATAGGTAATTTGTAGGATGAGATAGTTAATTCTGGAGGTGGTTGTTAAATTTTAAAGCTCTGTGGGTTTTTAAAGTATAGAAAAACTTCACTTTCAAGGGAGAAAGTTTCCTACGCTACCCTCCTTTTTTCCCTAAAATGTGGAAGAATAGCATAGAATCATCCTTCAGCTTTTAACCAGAGACCTAAGATTGTTCTTAACATAAAACATCTTCAGGGTTGTGTGGACTTTCTCATTTTCTCATTTATAGTTTACATATAGTATTAGACTTGCCTTTGGATAGCAAGACACCCCCTGCCCCAATAATGGAAAGTGCTAACACACTGTTCCTATGACTTTTTTCTCTTTTTTTTCCCTTCCACTTTTTCCTTTCCAGTATATATCCCACTCTTTTTGCTTTTTCTCAGTATTCATATGATTAGTAAAATGAATCTAAATGCTATCACAGACTTTCTTGGAGTGCACCCTTATTTTTTTTGCTCTAATTCCTGACTTTTTTACGCCTAGTTATATGTATGTCAGGTTATTTTCTGCCAGCCTCCCCCACCAATCTATGGTGAGATATTTCTATTACCACTGTCCAAAAAAACCTCAATATTTTGTCTTACATGTTTCTAGCTAATAAAAATCCAGTTATACTATATTTTCTGTAGATCAAACTGTTGGTGCTAATGTGACTGTTTAGGCATATGTAGATATGTTAATAAAATGCTTTCTCCACTAAAAATGAGGGACTAAAAGATAACATTTAATATAGCTAAAAGTTTTATTCATAAGTAGTCAGTCTTTGGTAATTTGGTATATTTTAATTATTTGATAAGATTACATGAAAATTTGCCACCCATACTTAAAGATGAGGTGGCAGATAAATTTAACCAGGTCTTTTTTAAAATTTAATTTACCAGGTCTTAAGAAAGCCACCTCCAAATACGTTTTTAAAAGTGTTTAATTAGGCCAGGTGTGGTGTCTCACGCCTGTAATCCCAGCACTTTGGGAGACCAAGGTAGGTAAATCACCTGAGGTCAGGAGTTCAAGACCAACCTGGTCAACATGGTGAAACCCTGTCCCAACTAAAAGTATAAAATTCGCCGAGTGTGGTGGTGCAGGCCTGTAATCCCAGCTACTTGGGTGGCTGAGGCAGGAGAATTGCTTGAACCTGGGAGGTGGAGATTGCAATGAGCCAAGATCACGCCACAGCACTCCAGCCTGGGTGATACAGCGAGACTCCATCTCAAAAAATAATGATAATTAATTACATAAGCAATAAATATTTCACGTAGAAGAATTTTTTAATCTAATCCCCCATTACCCCAGTGCTCACTGGCAAGTTAATATTTTTCTTTGCATTTTTTTTCACAAAATGAAATAACCTTTTATTTAAACTCAATAGAAACCATCTTTTATGTCCAAAATATTGCATGTTATTACTCTTAGTGACTGCCTTAATATAGTCCACATTTCCTTTGGAGCATTTGGATGGTATTTGCAATTGTTTCAATATTATAAACAGTATAGTAATTAACAACTTTATGTATACATTTTTATGTATTTATGTAATTTCTTTTCCTAAGGTTAAACCTAGAAGTAGAATTACTAGAACAAACAGTATGTACTTTTTATGCCCCCCCAGGGAAAATATACAAATCTATACTCCCACCTGTGGTGATGAGGTTGCCTGGTTCCAAACATTGGCATTAATGACTTTCTTCCATCTTATCTGGCACAAAATATGATCATTTTTGTCCACTTCATAGGAAAAATAAAATTAGATTGTTAAAGGTGGAAGGGACCTTGGAGATCCAACTCACTCTGATTAATGTCTTATTACAATTGTTAGTATGGGTGAGAAAATGCTCTTTCTTACATTCTATTCTAAAACAATAAAATATGGAGTGTCTTACATAATCACCTATAATGGTAAGATCTCTAGCCCTGGTGAAGATGTTTTGATTACTTTTAGAAAGGGTTGAAGATCTTGTAATTTTTTGTGAGAATTATTCTGAAATATAGTACGATTAAAATAGACACAACTTACTGCAAACATCAACATTGGAGAAGCATCTTATTTTCATCCGTAACAAGCTATTGCTTTTACAATGACTGATGTTCATGTTGCTTCTGAAGCACTGACTTTGTGATGGTTCTGTCCTGTGTCATCCAATTCACTAAAATTTCCTGTGTTGTGTGTAATCCCTGTGCTTTCCTAATAAACAATCTCTTTTCTCTGTTCCTGTTGTTATACTGTATATGTGGTGTATCGTTATCTTGTCAAATTTCTAACTTAGGGAATTTAATTCTCCTTCCTCATTCACTTACAGGCGTCCCCAAGTATGTAATGCAGTATGTCACTATATCACTGCCTAAATGTACTAGTGATGAATTGAGAGCTTTTATGCTTCGTATATCGGCAGCGAAAATACCTCCTCAAACTAAAGTAGAAGAAGTTCCCTCAGAAGAAGTAGAGACACCTCCCAAGAGTATGGATGCACCCTCCCCAGTGGATGTGGAAATAATTTCCAACAGAAATATAGAGATAATCCCCAAGCGTAACTTTTACACAGACATAATCTCTGAGGAGAGCACAGACTTATCTTCTCTGGCGAGTCTGGACATGTCATCTGTCATGAGCACAACTGAATCTGAGATGAGCATGGACACATCCTCCGAGTTGAGCATAGAAGCATCCTCGAAGGTGCACCTGGAAACATTTCCCAAGGTAAGCGTAGAAGCATCTCTCGAGGTGAGCCTGGAAGCACCTCCCAAGGTGTGTGCAGGAGCAGCCCCCAAGGAAAATGTGAAAGCGTCATCCGAAGAGAACACGGAGGCGATGGCGAAAGTGTCCCTGGAGGCAAGTGTAGAAGCGCCCCCCAAGACATCCTTTGAAGCAAGCTTGGAAGCCTCTCACAAGGCAAAAGTGAGAGATGCTCTAAGGGTTTGTCAAGTGTCTGTTATTGACAGATTTTCTATTAAAATATGTACATTTTGTTGTATAGTTCACAATAGGTCAGATTTTACAACATAACCAGCATATTATTTATAGTATTCTGCAATATAGTTAGTAAAATAGGCTAACTCACTTAAACTAGGAATTTAAACTCTCTGATGTTCATTGGACCACTTTTCCCTCAAAGCTGAAATATTAGTGAGTCTTTATAAGAAGGGAGAAAATGTGAGTTTATGTGAACTCTGTTTCTAAACTCTGAAGAAACCTTTTGTGAGAAATGTTTTAAACCCTGAGTTAGGATTTGGAAATGGAGTTAGGTTTTGAAGCATAATATGTCTTTTAAACTTATTACTTCTGTGATCTCCTCGAATTGTGTAATATAAATTGTTAGTCCAGAAGACAATATCGCTGTCCTGCTTCTCATGCTCTAAAAGAAAATTGCAGTTTAAA